CATTGGATTTTGCCCTAAGCATCTCCAGGCTGCTCTGGAATGGAAAAGGCCCTTTTCCCTCTGCTTACAAGCGCTAAATCAAACTCGGACAAGATATGGAAACTCAGGCAGGTACAGCTTGCCCTGCAGGGGAGGTGTGAGAAGGAGGGTCCCCTCTTTGCAGCATGGGATGGGGTCAATTAGGAAATAGTTCGTTTATCCCTGAAAATGGGACACATAACATGGCCAGAGCTCAGCCTGGGTGCCTGTTGGAGGACACGTATTCCCAGATTCCCCGCAGCTCAGAGCGTCACCTCCGTGCAAGGCGTCAAGGAGCATCCGCAGTGCTTCCCGGCGCTTCCCTTGACCTCTCCCCCGCGAGCCGGGGCTGCCGGCCCCATCCAGCCTCGCTGGCGTCTCCCGTGTCCCCATCCGCGGCAGTGGCTGAAGGCCGGCCTTGGAGGCGCCCGACGGAGCCTTGCGCAACACGGACGCCTTGCCGGCACCGCGGCTCCCACGCCGGAGCAGCCGCACTCACTGGGCGCCAGCGAGGTCCCACGCACCGCGAGACCTCCCAGCGCTCTTGATTAAAACCCTCTCTCCCCCGCGCACAGGAATTTGGTGCCCTATCTCCCCCGTTGCACTTGGTGCAACCTGCCGTGTGTTGCAACAAACGTCCCTGGGGAGGGATATTTTTACCCCCAGGCTCGGGCACCGCCGGCGYGCTGGCACCCCAGCCTTGCGAGCGCGGGCACGCTTCCCGCGGCGGGAGGGCAGCCAAGGCTGGGGAGGAGCAGAGGGTTTCCCAACGGCGCTCCGAGCCTCGGGCACCTCCTTGGCGCTGCGGCGTTCCCGGCCGCCGGCTGTAAATCTCCAGCCTGTCCTTGCTGGGGTTGTTTTGCTCCAGTGCGTGGCAGGAGCAAACGGGGCCACTTGGCTGTGGCAACTTAACCCCGCTCTGCCCCTGCTCCTGCAGACCCAGCAGAGCCCCCTGCCCCAGCYGGGGCAGGATTCCACCTCGCTGGGCTGGATTTCCCTCCCTATTCCCAGGATTAGCCTAACACGGGGAATAACCAGCTGCAAATCTGCTCTCCTCCCAGCACTGAAAGCCAGGGTTAGTTGTGGTGCTGCTGGAACAGCTTTTGTGCTCTGCGAGGGGCTTAATTAGCGTTGCATTAGCCCCGCAGCCCGAGCCTGGCCCCCGTTCCTCCCAGTGCGTGGGAGAGGGGCTGGATCACAAGCAATCCACACGCAGGAAGATGCAGCGCAGCCTCACAGGTGGCCCATTGCTCTTGCAAAGGTGGCAGAGAGATGTAAGGTCCAGGCACGCTGCAAAACACGGGTCTGTCACCGGGTCCACCCTTGATCAGAGCCAGCGCGGGGGCTGCACTCGCCCAGGCAGCAAATGGTCCATCCCTGACAGCAAACTGCCCCTGGACGTGGTGCAAAATGCCCCTGGACGTGGTGCAAAATGCCGCGCTCCGGTGCTCAGCAGGTAAACAGCTTGGGACTTTTGGCTCCTGCAGGTGGTTCCCGGCCACCCTGGGAAGATGGAGTGAGTCGGCATGGCCAGGGATGGCCCCAGGTGCCTCCTGCCTGCGGCAGGCAATTAAAAACCTCTCAGGCTGCCTAAGGGCTCTGTTTGAGGCAGGAACAATCCCGAGCTTGTGCTCCAGGCCCTGTTTTGTGGAAAACACAGGCCACTTTGTTTTCAGCGTTTTTCCCCTTTTTGGGAAGTATAAAGGATGGAGTCAGAAAGAAGTTGGCCCCAGTGGCTCTTTCTCGCTCCTGACACTGGATTGAGCACAGAGAGATGCCCCCTTCTCCTCCTCGCCCTTTGGGGAGGGATGCGGTGGTGGCACAACGACAAGCAATATGTTTTTAATTCATTTAAGGGAATTAAGCTTGGCTGTGACTGTCTGCTTGCATCCCCTCCACCGCTATTAATTCCCAAGCCGGAGCCGTCTGGGATCGCTGTCCATCTGCAGCRGGTCTGCAGCCGAGGCCAAGTTTCTGGCCAAAGGTTAGAAGGCAGCTGAGCTGAAAGCTGCTGGCAGATACTGGGGAAGTGCCACAATTCCAAATGCTGGGAATGACCCCAGCTCAGGCTCTGCGGAGCTGGCATCGGAGCACTGGCCAAATCCCACCAGGGATCTGGGACTRGAGAGCCCCACAGAATGAGCCCCGGCTGCCCTTGGCTCTGCTGGACGTGCGTGCCCTTGGAATGCTCTGATGGGAGCACGGAGCATCCGTGCGGCTGCTCCAGCTCCGCAGCCGGGCCCGAGTGGGCGCTGGGAGGCTGCGGCTGGTGGAGGCGGCTGTCACGCACAGACAAAGCTGCCCTTGTCCCCCGGGATCCCCCCGCCAAGCAGCCGGGAGGAGAGTTTTTCTCCCGGAACGACGCTGCGGCGCTAGGGCTGAGAGCTGGGAAAAGCTGCTCGGCACCAGGGATGTGCGGGGAGGGCTGCAGGCTCCATATGGGATTGGGTTGGCTGGGACACCTTGCAACAGACAGGGAGCCCTTATCTGTCTGGAAGTAAAACATGCTCTTCCCTGTTGAGTTATCCATTGGASAGCATCAGAGATTCAGGTGCATGGAGCTAACGTTGGGTCCTCCCAGCATCATCAGACAGATGCATCCCAYGGTATTCCCGGGAACACAAGGCGCCATCAGGGCAAAGAGGCGACGGAGCAGCTGTCCCAGCAGATTTACAGGGATCAGAACCCATGCAACTCCCCGGCATTTAGCGGGGCGTAACTGGGAGCAGATTCTCGCTCTCATACCATATGTTCCCAATCCAACACGTTCAATCAAGTCTAATAAAATTGATAGAGGAATACTGAAAACCTCGTGATTAATTCTTTATGATCTGTAATAGGGGAGCTGTGTGCCAATTACTCGAGTAAATCATTCATCAGAATATAAATAGAGCTCACCTTCAGTGCAAACATGAGAGGATTTCCACCAGGATTGCAGGGCTGGATTGCAGCATCGCGCTGCGGGTGGCAACGTGCTAGCAGAGAGAGGAGAGGGGAGAATCTGCAGTTTCAGGGTTCCTGCCTGACGTTTCAGCCCTGCTCTCCGCTGTTATTTGCCTGCATCTAGGCTTGCAATGCAGACATGCTTATCAGGTGCTTTGATGCTCCATCCTTGATCCCTCTCTGACCTGGCTGCCCAAGCCCTCGAAGGTTTGCAAGGGTGAAGCCCTCAGGGGTCAGCTCTGCTCCACAGCAGGTTTGATCCTGGGGACGATGGARCACAGCCCTCCGGGAAGGGGACACAAAACGATGGGCAAAGGGCTCTTGCACAGCACCTCTGTGAGCAAGGCCAGGCCTAGGACCAGCCAGATTGTAAGCCTAGCTTTGAAAAAACACAAGGTTTCTAGCCAAAAGCAGTTGGGTGTGGTGACCACACTAACAGCCAGGACATGCTGGAGATCAATGCAAATCCCAGTTCATCCAGCTGAAGTGATAGGGGGGTTATAAGAGTCGTTATGAGTAAACAAGCTCCTCCTGCTCAGCAGGGGATGGCAGCGAGAGTCACCTGCCCAGGATGGAAATCACAAGTGCTTTATGCCCCCTTTTTCCCCCTTTTCTTATCCAGGAAATAAATCCTTTGGCCCAGAAGATTTCCTTTTGGCTTTGGAGATAGTCCCYTCTGCATGGATACTGCCCTGTATTCCTGGCCAGGGTTTTCCCACCACTCCTGATTGCATGTGGGGACTGGTCCAGGTCTCCTCACATTCCTGGGAACTCACTCCAGAGCAAAGGCACCGTGTTGCTTCCTATCCCGTTGTTGCCTCCTTGGATTGGTTCCTGTCACTCTCCCCTGTGCTGTAAGGACCCAGGTGCTCGTTCTTGGAGCCTCCTCCATCTGTTCCCATGCCGGCTTGGGAGATTGCAGAGGTGATAACTGCACGGCGGAGTTGTCCCGTGCTGGAGAAAAAAGGCCAGAACCAGCTGGAGATAAAACCCATCTTGGGGACCCCTGCACCAGCATCTCCCCTTCAATGGGTTTTGGGGTGCAAATCATGCCCTGAATCACACTGAGCTGCTGYGGTGCTCGAATCTGGCACTTCTGCMCGTCCAGGAGGGTCCTATTTGCACTGGGGGGCTCATTCGTGTCCCTTCCCTGGCATCAACCACCTTTTGTCCCTGACTGAGATGCTCTGCAAAGGTGGAGGGGACATTCGGGAAACTGCAGAGGCCTGTGGGGACCGTGCTGCCCCATGTCCCTCCCATGCCTGGGCATGGTGGGGGCTGYGTTACCCAGAAACGTCCTGAGAAAGGAGTTGAGAAAAGTGATAATAATAACGGGGGGAAGAAGAGAGATCCTGCAGGGAATTGGGCACTGCAAATTGTCCTTAACATAGACCCATGCTTGATGGCTTGAAGTGTCACRGGGCAAACGAGCGGTTTTAGCCACGCAGCGTTTCCTCCCAGCGGCTCCAGGCATCACTTGGCCATCCGCATCCTCCCGCTTCCCTCTTTCATTTTCCGTTCTGCCGCTGCAAGCTGGAATCGAACCGAGCAAAGCGGGAGGGGGCCGGGGAGGGTAACACAGGATCCCTGCGCCGATCCCGAGCCCCCCTCCTCCTCCCACCCTCCCCAAAAAACACCCCCCCTTGCAGGGCCGGTTGCTTCACCGGGCGCGGGGCAAAGTCCGGGCAGCGCCGGCCCYGCCAGGCACTCGCTGGAGCTCCCGGGGGCCCGCGGAGGTCAGTGCGCCCGTGGGGAGCGGGGGTCCTGCAGGGGGTCCCCGCTCCCCCTTTATTCCGCCGTCGAGGCGGGAGGAGGGAGAAAAAGGAAGAAATCGGGCGGGGGGGAGAAAAAACTACATTTCCCATGAGTGCCGCGGCGGGGGGGGCGGCGAGCAGGAAGCGCGGCGGGGGAGGCGCTGGGGGCCGCGCGCTGCGGGGCGCCCCGACGGGGTC